GTTTTAATAAAAACGTCTGTAAATACGACAAGAACGTCTCAAAAACACAAGTCTCCTGCTGCTATTACAGACCACAGATAGACCTGGTTTAGTCCTGGTTTAGTCCTGGTTTAGACCTGGGTTAGTCCTGGTTTAGTTCTGGTTTAGTCCTGGTTTAGACCTGGTTTAGTCCTGAGTTAGTACTTAGTTCAGACCAAGTTTAGTCCTGATTGAGTACTGGATTAATATCGAGTTTAGACCTGGTTTAGGACCTGGTTTACTCCTGGTTTAGACCTGATTTAATCCTGGTTTAGACCTGATTTAGACCTGGTTTGGCTTAGTCCTGGTTTAGACCTGGTTTAGTCCTGGTATAGACCTGGTTTAGTTCTGGTTGAGACCTGGTTTTATCCTGAGTTAGTACCTAGTTCAGACCAAGTTTAGTCCTGATTGAGTCCTGGATTAATATCGAGTTTAGACCTGGTTTAGTCCTGGTTTAGTCCCAGTACAGTCCTGATTCCGACCTGGTTTAGTACCTGATTTAGTCCTGGGATTGTATTTTATTCTTGTTTTATCTTATAAATTCCTGCACTGGTTTTAGCTTGATCCACTGTTTCTGATGCACCTTTTTACTCATTGTTTTTACCTGTAGCACTTTGAGATTATTTTATGTAAAGCGCAATATAAATAAAATGTATTATTATTATTATTATTATTATTATTGGGATTTGACCTGGTTCAAACTTGGTTTAGTACTTTGTTTAGACCTAGTTTAGTCTTGAAATGGGTACTAAACCTATTGCAGACCTGATTTAGGATCTGGTTTAGTCCCTGGTTCAGTCCCTGGTTTAGACCTGTTTTAGTCCTGGTTCAGTCCTGATTTAGACCTGGTTCAGTCTTGATTTAGACCTGGTTTAGTCCTGGTTCCTCATGATAAACAAAAAGAACAGAAACATTCATATTTTACTCATTCAATTTTATTAAAAATTTTAATAAATGAAGAGAAGTGGAAGAACAAATATTTAGAAAAATATCTTTGGTTTTGTAAAAATATTTTTAGGAATGTGAAACTTTAGACAAGTTTGGAGATAAAATGAAATAAATTAAAGTTTTATACAGGAAAAAAAAAAAAACAGTTTGTGATCAGAAATGAAAACCTCCAAATATTTAAACATTTACAGACTAAATGAAAAAATATAAGTCCTGGTTTAGTCCTGGTTTAGTTCTGGTTTCGTCCTGGTTTAGTTCTGGTTTAGTCTTAAAATGCGTCCCTTTAGTTTCTAAAGACTAAACAAACAGACAAAAAAATGAATAAATAAAAGACAAAAATAAAATATATAACATCATTTAAGAACTGAGTTGAAAATCATTTGTTTGGTTGATTTTTCTTTTTTTTTTTTTAATAAGTGGAACGTTTGTGATCAGAGCTGTAAACAAAAACCTTGTCTTGTTCCCAAAAACACAAAAAAACAACAAAACAACTCAACAAATCAGTACAAACTTTTAACAAAATAAGTTACACAAACAGTTCAATCCCGAGTTTTCCCCTCACACTTTTGCGTTTGTTTTTTTTTTTTTGTTTTTGTTTGTTTGAGTGACTCTTTATTCTTGATTATTCGTCGGTCTAAAGCTCCAAACGCTCTGATCCACCCTGTGACATCATGAAGTGGTTCGTTTTATAAATGAACAGCTCCTTTTATCTTTAAGTTCAAGTCCTGGTTTAGTCCTGGTTTGGTCCAGTTTTAGTCCTAGTTTAGACCTGGTTTAGTCCTGGTTTAGTCCAGTTTTAGACCTGGTTTTAGTTTTAGTTCAGTCCAGTAGTCCTTTAGACTGTTTAGTCCTGGTTTAGTTTTTAGTCCTGGTTTAGTCCAGTTTTAGTCCTGGTTTAGTCAGTTTTAGTCCTGGTTTAGTAGTCCAGTTTTAGACCTGTTTAGTCCAGTTTTAGTCCTGGTTTAGTCCAGTTTTAGTCCAGTTTTAGACTGGTTTTAGTCCTTGGTTTAGTCCAGTTTTAGTCCTGGTTTAGTCCAGTTTTAGTCCTGTTTTAGTTCCAGTTTTTAGACCTGGTTTAGTCCAGTTTTAGTAGTCTGTTTAGTCCAGTTTTTAGACCTGTTTAGTCCAGTTTTAGTTTACCTGGTTTAGTCCAGTTTTAGTCCTGGTTTAGTCCTGTTTTTAGTCCTGGTTTAGAGTCCTGTTTTAGTCCTGTTTTAGTCCTGGTTTAGGTTTTAGTCCTGGTTTAGTTTTTAGACCTGGTTTATCCAGTCCAGTCGTTTTCCAGTTTTTAGTTGGTTTTCCTGGTTTAGACCTGGTTCAGTCCTGTTTTAGTCCTAATTCAGTCCTGGTTTAGTCCAGTTTTAGACCAGGTTTAGTCCTGGTTTATTTCTGTTTTACCAGAACTAAAACTGAACTAAACCAGGACTAAACACAACGGAGCACTTCCTGTACCACCACATGACATCACAAAGTGGAACAGAGCGTTTGTTTGTTTGTTTGTTTGTTTGTTTTTTTTCCAGTTTAAATGTTCAGAGTTCGTGAGTTAAACGAGTGAATGAAACAAAACAAAACAAAAAAAACTCCAGGTCTGAGTTTGTGACGAGGAAACGACGTCAGATCAGAGAAAATCACAAAAACAGAAAAATAAAAATACAGAATTTCACAAAATACTCGACACAAACGCTTCAGTTCTCGTATTTTCGTTTCCCTTTCGATTTTTAAGGTGCTGGTTCAAAAACTGTGGCAGGTTTTTGGTGTAAAAGTGACGCGGCCGAGGATTCGGAAAAGAAAAAAAATGTTAGAAAGAGTCAAATTTTTGCAGCAACATAAAAATTTAAACATCGTGTTTTTGGTTCAGTGTTTGAAAGTCAAGAATCTGTGTCGTTGGTTCAGTCGTTTTTCAAAATAAAACCAAAAATAAGAAACTGGAAAAAAAAAAAAAAAAAAAGATGATTTTTCTTCATTATTTGTCTCCGAAATCAAAATGAAAAAAAAAAAAAAACAGATAATGATTTGATTTTCTCAGTTTTTTATTTTAGGTTTAAATGAAAAATGGAAAAAAAAAAATGGATAACGGACTGAACCAGGACTGAGACTGGGACCAGACCGGGACTTAGACTGGGACAAAAAAATAGTTTATCCCTGGTTTAGTCCTGGTTTAGTCCCGGTTTAGTCCCGGTTCAGTCCCGGTTTAATCCCGGTTCAGTCCTGGTTCAGTCCTGGTTTAGTCCTGGTTCAGTCCCGGTTTAGTCCTGGTTCTGTCCTGGTTCAGTCCTGGTTTAGTCCCGGTTCAGTCCTGGTTCAGTCCTGGTTCAGTCCTGGTTTAGTCCTGGTTTAGTCCTGGTTCAGTCCGTTATCCGTTTTTTTGTTGTTGTTTTTTTTTTTCATTTAAACACAAAATTGAAAACTGAAAAAAATCAAATCATTATCAGTTTTTTTTTTCATTTTGGTTTGGGAGACAAATAATGAAGAATATAGTTGTTGTTGTTGTTGTTTTTTTTTTTTTTTTTCGTTTTCTTATTTTTGGTTTTATTTTGAAAAACTAATGACTGACAGGTGGATCTCCTCCAGCAGGAGGGTCGTCGGGTCGATTCTCGTCTCTGTGCAAAACTGAAGTAAAAGAAAAAAACTAAAACAGTAAAAATTGTGCAGTGGTGAAACAGTTTCTCAGAGGTTCAGGGTTTTGTTCAGTCCCCGGGCAAAAAAAACCTCACAGCAACAAGTGGAGTGTTAAAATCAACTCTCACAGAGTCAAACTGAACATGTTCTCAGAGTTTCTATGAGTCCAGTCTGTTCTAGAGTTAATTTAACATTTTTGGAAATATTCATGAAGTAAAACTGGACCAAAGTTCCTGTTTAACCCTTAAAGTCTCCGTCACAAACAGGTCCCACGAGTCACGGATCATTTTAGTCAAGTCCTCACGAGTGACAAGACAAGACTCCAGCTCAACCTGTGTGTCGCTCGTTCATTCGTTTTTCAATATAAAACCAAAAATAAGAAAATGAAAAAACAACAGTTTTCTTCATTATTTGTCTCCAAAACCAAAATAAAAAAACAGATGAGATTCGTTTTTTCAGTTTTTGTGTTTAAATGAAAAATGGAAAAAAATGGATCACGACCATTTCCCGTTGACGTGACTTCAGTGACTGAGATGCCAGAATTTTGCACCTGGTACAGACTGAACCAGGACTGATCCAGGTCCGGGACCAGACCAGGACCAGACCGGGACCAGACCAGGATTGAGAGCAGGACCAGTGGTCTGAGCAGTTCCTCTGTGCTCTGGTTCCGTGTGGGGAAAGTGAGATGTTCTGTGGACTCCAGGTCTGGACGAGCGGCTCTGGTCCTCCACACTCAAGAACCACGACTGGTTCTGAGGTGGAGCAGCGTCTGGACAGAAGCGTGAGTCCAGGTTGGTTGGTTTTATTGTTTTGACCATTCGTCGTCCATTTGGTTCTTTCCCGGGTAAAGTTCTTCTCAGGTCGAGGCTCCTGACTTCACTCCCCGCTCCAGCTCCTCTGAGCCCGACAGAACCACAGCTGCTCCCGCTGGTTGGAATAGTCCGTTTGGACCTGCTGTCCGTTTGGACCTGCTGTCCGTTTGGACCTGCTGTCCGTTTGGTGCGCACCAACTACTGTTTGTGTGAAAGCACCCTGAGACCGACCGGGACCAGACCGGGACCAGACCGGAGATCACGGTCTCTGGTCTGGTCCATCAGTCACGGTCCATCAGAGCCCAAGGCAGGACCGGAACTCAAAGCTGAAGCTCAGACCCTGCGGAGGCTCAGAGTCAAAGCTCAGAGTCAAAGCTCAGAGTCAAAGCTCTGGTCCCGCTCTAGTCCCGCTCTGGTCCCGCTCTGGTCCCGCTCTGGTCCCGGTCCCGCTCTGGTCCGGACCTGGTCAGTCCCTCTGTACGCGGTGCAAAAGTCCAGCATCACAGTCACTGAAGTCACATAAACTGGACACGGCCATTTTTTTATTTTTTCATTTAAACACAAAATCAAAAACTGAAAAAACAAATCATTATCCGTTTTTTCATTTTGGTTTTGGAGACAAATAATGAAGAAAACTGTTGTTTTTTCGTTTTCTTATTTTTGGTTTTATATTGAAAAACTATTGACACACAGATTCAGTGGGTAAACGAACGCTGAGTCTCTACGGAGGAAATGTTCCTGCACATTTTTCCTGCGGGCGGCAGCTCGGAACAAACACCTACCTCACACTGACAAGAAGTACAGGTCAAGCACTCGTCACACAGGTGTGTCGTACACACACACACACACACACAGACACACACACACACATACACACACACAGACACACACACACACACACACACAGACACACACACACACACACACACACACACACACACACACACACACACACACACACACACACACACACATACACACACGAGTCGTAGCAGACGAACTGTACACACCGAGTTTTCACCGACGAGACGCCGCCCAAAGAGAAGTGTTTTATTTTTACACTTTATTTGAGTTAATTTAAGATGAAATTATTAACAAAACTGGTTCAAACTGGTCTCACGGGAGTTTGAAGTGGAGGGAGGGAGGAGCCAAATTAACACTAGAGGAAGTTGAATTAACATTAATGGAAGTTGAATTAACATTAATGGAAGTTGAATTAACACTAGAGGAAGTTGAATTAACAAATTACATAGAGGAAGTTGAATTAACTAGAGGAAGTTGAATTAACTCTAGAGGAAGTTGAATTAACTCTAGAGGAAGTGAATTAACTCTGAAATTAAAGTTGAATTAACTAGAGGAAGTTGAATTAACTCTAGAGGAAGTTGAATTAACAGAGGAAGTTGAATTAACACTAGAAGGAAGTTGAATTAACACTAGAGGAAGTTGAATTAACACTCTAGAGGAAGTTGAATTAACTCTAGAGGAAGTTGAATTAACTCTAGAGGAAGTTGAATTAACACTAGAGGAAGTTGAATTAACATTAATGGAAGTTGAATTAACACTAGAGGAAGTTGAATTAACACTAAAGGAAGTTGAATTAACACTAGAGGAAGTTGAATTAACACTAAAGGAAGTTGAATTAACACTAGAGGAAGTGTTAAATCAACACTTCACAACACAGTGGAACTTCAACCACATCAACTCTGGAAAATAACCCTAAACTCCAACCCCGTGTTTAACTTTCAAATAGTTAAAAATAACACTTTCTGAGTTAAAAACAACTCTGAGATATTTTAACACTCCAGTTTTTGCTGCGCTCGACGCCCCCACCGTTCACTCCAGAGACCGGAGTTTGCGGCGGGAGGGCATCTGGTGTAAAAAAAAAAAAAAAAAAAAAAAACTTGTCAGATTTCTCAAAATTGTGCAACATTTTAAGAGATTTGAGTAAAACTGTTCCGTTTGTTTCGGAAAATAGAAAAAAACTAAAAAACGCTGGTAAATACGGTAACTTGGTCAGTATCCTCTGGTCTAGCACCCCGCAGTAGCAGTAGCAGTAGTAGTAGCAGTAGCAGTAGTAGTAGTAGTAGTAGTAGTAGTATTTCCTGAGTACTTCATGTATTCTGTGGCGTGGAGTAGAGCGAGTGGTGCTGGTCGTTTTGGTCGGAGCGCTGCGCGGCGAAAAGAAGCGGCGTCGTCTCCGAGCCGAACCAACTGAAAAACACAAAAACACAGAAACAAGAAAGATTAAAGCCGCACCGTGGAACTTTCCCGTCTCCATGGACACGCGACAGCTTTTCCTGAAATGTCCCGCAGTGCGAGAGTAAACGGGCGGAGTGTCTCCGTGGAGACGAAGCCACCGGACTGAAAGAACAGATTCAGACCTGGTTTAGTCCTGGTTTAGTCCTGTTTTAGTCCTGGTTTAGTCCTGGTTTTAGTCCTGGTTTAGACCTGGTTTAGTCCTGTTTTAGTCCTGGTTTAGACCTGGTTTAATGGTTTAGTCCTGGTTTAGTCCTGGTTTAGTCCTGGTTTAGTCCTGGTTTAGACCTGGTTTAGTCCTGGTTTAAACCTGGTTTAGACCTGGTTTAGGCCTGGTTTAGTCCTGGTTTAGTCCTGGTTTAGACCTGGTTTAGACCTGGTTTAGTCCTGGTTTCGTCCTGGTTTAGTCCTGGTTTAGTCTGGGTTTAGTCCTGGTTTAGACCTGGTTTAGTCCTGGTTTTAGTCCTGGTTTAGACCTGGTTTAGTCCTGGTTTAGACCTGGTTTAGTCCTGGTTTAGTACCTGGCCTGTAGAGACTGTTGGGAGTTGGTTCTGGTCCAGGGCAGTGGTGCGTCTTCGTCTCCGGCCTGAGGATCATCGAAGAAATACGGCCGAGGAAGAGGAGACGTGTTTATCACCACGGCTCTCTGAGAGAGAGAGAAGAAGAAGAAGAAGAAGAAGAAGAAGAAGAAGAGAAGAAGAAGAAGAAGAAGAAGAAGAAGAAGAAGAAGAAGAAGAAGAAGAAGAAGAAGAAGAAGAAGAAGAAGAAGAAGAGAGAAGAGAGAAGAAGAAGAAGAGAGAAGAAGAAGAAGAAGAAGAAGAAGAAGAAGAAGAAGAAAGAAGAAGAAGAAGAAGAAGAGAGAAAGAAGAAGAAGAAGAAGAAGAAGAAGAGAGAAGAAGAAGAAGAGAGAGAAGAAGAGGAGAGAAGAAGAGGAGAGAAGACATGAGTTTTGTGTTTCGTGTTTGTTTTTCGTGTTTTGTTTTTGTGTTTCATGTTCCATTGTCCGTGTTCCTTGTTCCATGTTTTGTGTTTGTGTTTCGTGTTTGCATTTAGTGTTTGCGTCTTTTTTGTTTCGTGTTTGTGTCTCATGTTTCTGTTCGTGATTTGTTTCGTGTTTTTGTTTGTGTTTTGTTTTTATTTTTGTGTTTCGTGTTTTTTTTGTTTTGTTTTTATTTTTGTGTTTCGTGTTTTTGTTCATGTTTTGTTTTGTGTCTGTGTTTCATGTTTTTTTTGTGTGTTTCATGTTTGTGTTTCGTGTTTTTGTTCGTTTTTTGTATTTCGTGTTTTTGTTCATGTTTGTGTTTCATGTTTTTTTTGTGTGTTTCATGTTTGTGTTTCGTGTTTTTGTTCGTTTTTTGTGTTTCGTGTTTTTGTTCATGTTTGCGTTTCATGTTTTTTTTGTGTGTGTGTTTCATGTTTGTGTCTTGTGTTTCTGTTCGTGTTTTGTTTCGTGTTTTGTTTTTATTTTTGTGTTTCGTGTTTTTGTTCGTGTTTTGTTTTGTGTTTGTGTTTCATGTTTTTTTGTGTCTGTTTCGTGTTTGTGTTTTGTTCGTGTTTTGTTTTCATTTTTGTGTTTGTGTTTTGTGTTTTTGTTTGTTTTTTTTGTTTGTTTTTGTGTTTCGTGTTTGTGTATTGTTTTTGTGTTTTGTGTTTCATGTTTGCGTTTAGTGTCTTGTTTTGTTTTTGTGTTGTTTCATGTTTCGTGTTTATGTTTCGTGTTTTGTTTTTGTGTTGTTTTGTGTTTATGTTTCGTGTTCATGTTTCGTGTTTATGTTTCGTGTTTATGTTTCGTGTTTTATTTTTGTGTTGTTTTGTGTTTGTGTTTCATATTTGTGTTTCATGTTTCATATTGTGTGTTTTGTTTTTGTGTTGTTTCGTGTTTATGTTTCATGTTTCGTGTTTTTGTTCGTGTTTTGTTTTGTTTGTGTTTATGTTTTTCGTGTTTTTATGTTTTTGTGTTTTGTTTTTTTGTGTTGTTTCGTGTTTATGTTTCGTGTTTGTTTCATGTTTTGTGTTTTATTTTTGTGTTGTTTTGTGTTTGTGTTTCGTGTTTGTGTTTCATGTTTCATATTGTGTGTTTTGTTTTTGTGTTGTTTCATGTTTATGTTTCATGTTTGTTTTGTTGTTTGTGTTTTGTGTTGTTTCGTGTTTATGTTTCATGTTTATGTTTCATGTTTCATGTTTTTGTTGTTTTGTGTTGTTTCGTGTTTATGTTTCGTGTTTATGTTTCATGTTTCATGTTTTGTGTTTTGTTTTTGTGTTGTTTCGTGTTTATGTTTCATGTTTATGTTTCATGTGTTTCATGTTTATGTTTCATGTTTCATGTTTATGTTTCATGTTTCGTGTTTATGTTTCGTGTTTCGTGTTTAGTCTTTCATGTACACGTGCAGTACCGCTGACCTCCTGCGGGGGGCGGCGTATCCTGAAGATGAGCATGAGCAGACTCATGGGCAAAAGTTCCCAGATGAAGAGAATCGCCCCGAACGCCAAAAACTCCCGATCCCCCAGCTCCCTCTGCAGGTCAGCCTGAGAATAACACCACACAATCACACTACTGCAAATACTACTGCAAATACTACTACTACTACTACTACTACTACTACTACTACTACTAATCCTGTGTGACCTGGTCGGAGACGTTGTACCAGTCGAAGTTGAAGTCCTCCACTCGGCTGCTCCTCAGGCTCAGGGCGGTGAGGTTATAACACGCCCTGCTGGTGAAGAGGAGAATCACAGCTGCACCCAGAGCCGCCGTCCGACACACACTCGTGCCCTGAGGAGACACACACACACACACACACACACGACACACAACACACACACACACGACAAACACACACACACACACACACACACACACACACACACACACAACACACATGAGAAACACACAGGTGGAGGTACGGGCTGGTGCAGTGAGAGTAGGGAGGGATAGAGGTAGTAGAGAGTAGGGTAGGAGGTAGGGGGTAGGAGGTAGGAGATAGGGGGTAGAGAGTAGGAGGTAGGGAGTAGGGGGTAGGGGGAAGGAAGAAGGGGGTAGGGGTAGGGAGTAGGAAGTAGAAGGTAGGTAGGAAGTAGGGAGTAGGAGATAGGGAGTAGGGTGTAGGGAGTAGGGGGTAGGGGATAGGGTGTAGGAGATAGGGGGTAGGGAGTAGGAAGTAGTGGGTAGGGAGTAAGAGGTAGGGAGTAGGGTGTAGGGAGTAGGGTGTAGGGTGTAGGGTGTAGGGAGTAGGGGGTAGGAGGTAGGGGATAGGGTGTAGGAGATAGGGAGTAGAGAGCAGGGAGTAGGGTGTAGGGGGTATTGGGTAGGGAGTAGGGTGTAGGAGATAGGGTCTAGGGAGTAGGAGGTAGGGAGTAAGAGGTAGAGAGTAGGGGTAGAGAGGTAGGTAGGGAGTAGGGGGTAGGGAGTAAGGGAGTAGAGCAAGTAGGAGAGTAGGGGAGGAGTAGGAGGCAGGGAGTATGAAGTAGGAGATAGAAGGTAGAATGTAGGGAGTAGTAGGAGGTAGGGTTTGGTGCAGTGCAAGTAGGAGGTAGGGGGTACAAAGTAGGAGGTAGGGAGTAGGAGGTAGGTAGTAAGGGGTAGGGTGTAGGAGATAGGGAGTAAGGGGTAGGAAGTAGGGGTAGGAAGTAGGGGGTAGGGAGTAAGGGGTAGGAGGTAGGGAGTAGGAGGTAGGAGGCAGGGAGTAGGAGGTAGACGGTAGGGAGTAGGAGGTAGGAAGTACAGGGTAGGGTGTAGGCGGTAGGAGTTAGGAGTTAGGAGGTAGGAGTCGTACCTTGCTGAGGAGGTAGGGTCTGGTGCAGTGCGAGTAGGAGGTAGGAGTTAGGAGTTAGGAGGTAGGAGTCATACCTTGCTGAGGAGGTAGGGCCTGGTGCAGTGCGAGTAGGAGGTAGGAGGTAGGAGTTAGGATGTAGGACACATACCTTGCTGAGGAGGTAGGGCCTGGTGCAGTGCGAGTAGGAGGTAGGAGTTAGGATGTAGGACACATACCTTGCTGAGGAGGTAGGGCCTGGTGCAGTGCGAGTAGGAGGTAGGAGTTAGGAGTTAGGAGGTAGGAACATTAGCTGAGGAGGTAGGGCTGGTGCAGTGCGAGTAGGAGTAGGAGGTAGGAGTTAGGAGGTAGACACATACCTTGCTGAGGAGGTAGGGCCTGGTGCAGTGCGAGTAGGAGGTAGGAGTTAGGATGTAGGACACATACCTTGCTGAGGAGGTAGGGCCTGGTGCAGTGCGAGTAGGAGGTAGGAGTTAGGAGTTAGGATGTAGGACACATACCTTGCTGAGGAGGTAGGGCCTGGTGCAGTGCGAGTAGGAGGTAGGAGTTAGGAGTTAGGAGGTAGGACACATACCTTGCTGAGGAGGTAGGGCCTGGTGCAGTGCGAGTAGGAGGTAGGAGTTAGGAGTTAGGAGGTAGGACACATACCTTGCTGAGGAGGTAGGGCCTGGTGCAGTGCGAGTAGGAGGTAGGAGTTAGGAGTTAGGAGTAGGACACATACCTTGCTGAGGAGGTAGGGCCTGGTGCAGTGCGAGTAGGAGGTAGGAGGTAGGAGTTAGGAGGTAGGACACATACCTTGCTGAGGAGGTAGGGCCTGGTGCAGTGCGGAGGTAAGGAGTTAGGATGTAGGACACATACCTTGCTGAGGAGGTAGGGCCTGGTGCAGTGCGAGTAGGAGGTAGGAGTTAGGAGTAGGACACATACCTTGCTGAGGTAGAGTGCGAGTAGGAGTAGGAGTAGGAGAGGAGTAGACACATACCTTGCTGAGGAGGTAGGGCCTGGTGCAGTGCGAGTAGGAGGTAGGAGTTAGGATGTAGGACACATACCTTGCTGAGGAGGTAGGGCCTGGTGCAGTGCGAGTGCCGCGTCAGCAGCATCAGGACGGACGACAGGATGACGGCGTTGACGATGAACAGGCCGTCGTTGATCAGGACCCGGACCAGGACCAGAGTCCAGGTCTGAGGACTGGACCCGTCTCGGTCCTCGAGCGTCGCACACACCACGTTCACGCAGAAGAAGACGAGGCAGAGGAGCCAGAAGAACCAGCGCATCAGACACCTGCAGACACCACCAGAAGAAGAAGAAGAAGAAGAAGAAGAAGAAGAAGAAGAAGAAGAAGAAGAAGAAGAAGAGTTCATCTGATTTATTGATTTTATTTTTACAGATAAACACACGACGAGGCAAAAAATCTGTGTCGTTCGTTCGTTTTTTTTCAAAATAAAACCAAAAATAAGAAATGATTTTCTGATTTTGTGTTTAAATGAAAAATGGAAAAAACAGATAACGACAGTTTCTCGTTTACGTGACTCTCGTGACTGCGATGCCGAACTTTTGCACCGTGTACGGACTGAACCAGGACCAGGACCAGGACAGAGCGGGACCAGAGCGGGACCAGACCGGGACCAGAGCGGGACCAGAGCGGGACCAGACCGGGACCAGACCGGGACCAGAGTACTAGACCGGACTCCGAGCTTTGACTCCGAGCCTGCGCGGGGTTCGAGCCTCAGCTTCGAGCTCCGGCCCTGCTGTGGGCTCTGAGCCTCTGGTCTGGGTCTAGTCTTGGACTCAGTCTTGGTCTCGGTCTCAGTCTCGGTCTTGGTCTCGGTCTCAGTCTCAGTCTCGGTCTGGTCCCGGTCTGGTTCCAGTCTGGTCTCTGGTCTCGGTCTCAGTCTGGTTCCAGTCTGGTCCCGTCCTTGGTCTGGTCTCGGTCTCAGTCCTGGTCTGGTCCCTGCCTGGTCCTGGTCCTGGTCTCAGTCCCGGTCTGGTCTCCAGTCTGGTCCCAGTCTGGTCTCGGTCTGGTCTCGGACTCAGTCCTGGTCTGGTCCCTGCCTGGTCCTGGTCTGGTCTCGGTCTCAGTCCCGGTCTGGTTCCAGTCTGGTCCCGGTGTGGTCCTGGTCTGGTCTCGGTCTCAGTCCCACTCTGGTCCTGGTCTCAGTCTCAGTCTCGGTCTCTTGTCTGGTCTCAGTCCCGTCTGGTCTCAGTCTGGGTCTTGGTCTCAGTCCTCGGTCTCGGTCTGTCCGGTCTCAGTCCCGGTCTTGTTCCGGTCTCAGTCTCGGTCTCAGTCTCTGGTCTCAGTCTCTGGTCTTGTCTCTGGTCTTGTTCAGTCCCGGTCTCAGTCGTTCTGGTCTCAGTCCCGGTCTTGTTCTGGTCTCAGTCCCGGTCTTGTTCTGGTCTCAGTCCTGGTTTAGTCCTGGTTCAGTTCGTTATCCGTTTTTCCATTTTTCATTAAAACACAAAATCAGAAACTGAAAAAACAAATCTTTATCTGTTTTTTCATTTTGGTTTTGGAGACAAATTATGAAGAAAATACTTTTTTTTTTCATTTTCTTATTTTTGGTTTTATTTTGAAAAACAAACAAATGAACGACACAGATTTAAAAAGTTTCTTTAAGAGGTAAAAACAGAAGCGGCGACTCACAGAGCTCTGGTCACTTCAAAGTGACAAATCTCCCGAACTTTGAGAAGAACCTGAGACAGAAAAACAAAAAAGGGTTAAAACATCTGAGGCGTCCTTCAGCGTCTCTGGGACCAGGTCCAGATCTTGGTCTAGTCTTGGTCTAGTCTCGGTCTATTCTGGTCTAGTTTTGGTCTAGTCTTGGTCTAGTCTTGGTCAGGACCTGAGCTGGAAACTCCGAGCTGAAGGAGGCTGTTCTGTACGTCTGTGTGCACAGCTTTTGACCTGGACTAGACCTGGTTTAGACCTGGTTTAGACCTGGTTTAGACCTGGTTTAGTCCTGGTTTAGACCTGGTTTAGACCTGGTTTAGACCTGGTTTAGTCCTGGTTTAGACCTGGTTTAGACCTGGTTTAGACCTGATATAGTCCTAATTTTAGCCCAAGTTTAGTCCTAATTTAATTCTGGTTTAGACCTGAAATAGACTTGTTTTAGTCCTGGTTTAGCCCAAGTTTAAAGCTGGTTTAGACCTGGTTTAGAACTGATACAGTCCTAATTTTAGTCCTAGTTTAGATCTTGTTTAGTCCTGGTTTAGACCTGATATAGACCTGATATAGTCCTAATTTTAGCCCAAGTTTAGCCTAAGTTTAGTCATGGTTTCGATTTGGTTTAGACCTAGTTTAAACCTGGTTTAGACCTGGTTTGGAACTGATTTAGTCCTAATTTTAGCCCTAGTTTAGATCAGGTTTAGACCTGAAATAGCCTGATATAGTCCTGGTTTAGTCCTGGTTTAGAGCTGGTTTAGTCCTGGTTTAGTTCTGGTTTAATCCTGGTTTAGTTCTGGTTTAATCCTGGTTTAGTTCTGGTTTAATCCTGGTTTAGTTCTCTGGTTTAGTTCTGGTTTAGTCCTGGTTTAGTTCTGGTTTAGTTCCTGGTTTAGTCCTGGTTTAGTTCTGGTTTAGTTCTGGTTTAGTTCTGGTTTAGTCCTGGTTTCTGTCACATGAGCAGGTGACTCGTGTCATGTGTTTTATCATAAATCTTTGTTTCATTTTTGTTTTGAGTTTCTTTTGGCGCTGGTCCAGACTCTGTTTAGTCCAGACTCTGTTCGGTCCAGACTCTGTTCGGTCCAGACTCTGTTCGGTCCAGACTCTGTTTGGTCCAGACTCTGTTTAGTCCAGACTCTGTTGGGTCCAGACTCTGTTCGTCCAGACTCTGTTTAGTCCAGACTCTGTTTAGTCCAGACTCTGTTCGGTCCAGACTCTGTTCGGTCCAGACTCTGTTCGGTCCAGACTCTGTTCAGACTCTGTTCGGTCCAGACTCTGTTTAGTCCAGACTCTGTTCGGTCCAGACTCTGTTCAGTCCAGACTCTGTTTAGTCCAGACTCTGTTTAGTCCAGACTCTGTTTAGTCCAGACTCTGTTCGGTCCAGACTCTGCTCGGTCCAGACTCTGGATCTAGACTCAGACACAGACCGCAGTGCATTTTGGGAAAGTAGGATTCTTTTCTATTTTCAGAACAGAAACTTTTTGAGTTTTTAAATGTGAGTCCAGACCAGACGCCCCTCTGGACCCGGGACAGTCCCTCTGGACCCGGGACAGTCCCTCTGGACCCGGGACAGTCCCTCTGGACCCGGGACAGTCCCAGGTCCGAGTCCGAGTCCGAGTCTGAGTCTCTGTCCCCACAGATTTATACAAAAAACACTGATTTGTCCCAATTTATACAAGAAACGTCCCAGTGTCTCTATTCTGGACCAAACTGATCTAAACCAGGACTAAACCAGGACTGAACCAGGACTGAACCAGGACTGAACCAGGACTAAACCAGGACTAAAACAGGACTAAACCAGGACTAAACCAGGACTGAACCAGGACTAAACAAACCAGGACTAAACCAGGACTAAACCAGGACTGAACCAGGACTAAACCAGGACTAAACCAGGACTGAACCAGGACTAAACCAGGACCAGACCAGGGATTAAACCAGAACTAAACCAGAAACCAGGTCTAAACCAGGACTAAACTAAACCAGGACTAAACCAGGACTAAACCAGGACTAAACCAGGACTAAACCAGGACTAAACCAGGACTAAACCAGGACTAACCAGTAAACCAGGACTGAACCAGACTAAACCTGAACAGGACTGAACCAGGACTAAACCAGGACCAGACCAGGATTAAACCAGAACTAAACCAGGTCTTGAGTGGTACCTGGGTGAAGTAGAGGCTGATGAGGCTGAAAGTGAAGAACTGGAGACAGACGGGGAAACAGTAGAGGAGCCAGTACAGCGCCACCTGCAGGAAACACACACACACACACACACTTTAGCTTTCACCTGTCTCTTTCACCTGTCGTTCTCACCTGTCGTTCGCCCGTCTTACCGGCAGGTGGTTGGCCTGGACGGCGTTCCTGAAGTAGAAGCAGAAGAGCGTGGTGCGGAGCGCGGCCCACAGGAGGCACAGGAACAGGAAGCCGCTCTGGAAGCTCCAGCGTTTGTGTCGCCGCAGCAGGAGGAGCCAGAGCTGCGCGTACGCCCACAGGAAGAGGGCGCCGTAGAGCAGCGCGTACAGCAGCGTGAAGGAGAACTGCACCGACGGCGGCACGGCGGGCGACAGGGGCAGCGGGGACGGCGCCAACGAGGGGCCGGGGGGCGCTGTGGAGGAGGAGTACGGAAGACGAGAGGGGTCACAACAAACGCAAACGCCGCGACAAAACGCAAACGCCGCAACAAATACAAATGCGACGACACAACAAAAAGCCACAACACAACAAAAAAAGCCACGATACACCAAATAAAGCCACAACAAACAAAAAAAAAAAAAAAAGCCACAACAAAAAAAAGCCATATACACCAAATAAAGCCACAACAAACCAAAAAATAAGCCACGATACACCAAAAAAAGCCACAACAAACCAAAAAAAGCCACGATACACCAAAAAAAGCCACAACAATTTTTTTAAAGCCACAATACACCAAAAAAGCCACAAAAACAAAAAAAGCCACGATACACCAAAAAAAGCCACAACAATTTTTTTAAAAGCCACAATACACCAAAAAAGCCACAAAAAAAAAGCCACAATACACCAAAAAAAGCCACAATACACCAAAAAAGCCACAACAAACCAAATAAAAGCCACAATACACCAAAAAAGCCACAATACACCAAATAAAGCCACAACAAACCAAAAAAAAGCCACGATACACCAAAAAAAAGCCACAACAAACAAAAAAAAGCCATGATACACCAAAAAAGCCACAATTTTTATAAAAGCCACAATACACCAAAAAAGCCACAACAAACAAAAAAAAAGCCACAATATACCAAAAAAATCCACAACAAACCCAAAAAAAAGCCACAATACACCAAAAAAAGCCACAACAAACCAAATAAAAGCCACAATACACCAAATAAAAGCCAGAACAAACCAAAAAAAAAGCCACAATACACCAAAAAAAGCCACAACAAACCAAAAAAAAGCCACGATACACAAAAAAAAGCCACAAAGGAAATGAACGGAAATTTTAATGTAAACGCCGCAATACAAACGCCACAACACAAACGCCACAACACAAATTCAAAAGCCACAACACATTCAAAAGTCACAACACATTAAAAAGCCACAACACACCAAAAAGCCGCAACACATTAAAAAGCCACAACACAACAAAAAGCCGCAACACACCAAAAAGCCACAACACATTAAAAAGCCGCAACACATTAAAAAGCCGCAACACATTAAAAAGCCACAACACATTAAAAAAGCTACAACACATTAAAAAGCCACAACACATCAAAAAGCCACAACACATTAAAAAGCCACAACACATCAAAAAGCCACAACACATCAAAAAGCCACAACTCATTAAAAAGCCACAACACAAACGCAAATGCCAGAACACATCAAAAAGCTGCAACACATTAAAAAGCCACAACGGAAGGGACTCTATTTTCCGACGGACCGATCAAGCGGCAAGTGAAGAAGAAGAACTACAACGTGAAAAGTAAAGGAACGGGGAAGTTGGAAACGTAAGTAAAAGTAATTTATTGTTTTATCATTATTTGTTTCACGTTGTAGTTCTTCTTCTTCACTTGCCGCTTGATCGGTCCATCGGAAAATAGAGTCACTTCTGCTTTGGCTTTTTGATGTGTTGTGGCTTTTTAATGTGTTGTGGCTTTTTAATGTGTTGCGGCTATTTGCGTTTGTGTTGTGGCTTTTTTAATGTTGTTCTTTTTGATGTGTTGTGGCTTTTTAATGTGTTGCGTCTTTTTCATGTGTTGTGGCTTTTTAATGTGTTGTGGCATTTGCATTAAAATAGAGTCCCGCGGTCATTTCCGTTGTGGCTTTTTTTGGTTTGTTGTGGCTTTTTGTCGCGCCGTCGCATTTGTATTTGTTGCGGCGTTTGCGTTTGTTGTGACCCCTCTCGGCTTCCGTAGCGGAGGGGCATCAGAACAATCTAGAACCTCTATTCATACTCTTCTGTGAAAAATGTGTAGAAAATGACGTCATTTGAGTTTCTCCTTCATCATGTGAATAAATATGTGACAAATACTGAACTCAAAATGTCCCTTTGATCATATTTGTCACTTCCTGTTCTCTGTCTTTGAGTCATGAGCCTAAAATAAGTTTTCGTGCGTGTGTGTTTTGTTTGTGGAACTAAACCAGGACTGAACCAGGACTAAACCAGGGACTGAACCAGATTTAGTTCATAAATATATGTATGAATTTATTTTAAAATCCTTTTGTCTCCTTCTTTTTGTCGTGTTCTTGGCTCAGAGTCTGAACGCAGTAAATAAATAAACCTTTGTGTTCAATTATACTTCAGTGATCTTTAAAGTGAAAGTATCTGGTGTATTTATTCGTACTGTACATCAGGGGTCCTCAAACTATGGCCCGCGGACCGACTCCGGCCCACAGCCCCTCGTGCCCGATGCCACAAAAAAAAGTTTGGTGATGATCCGAGGTCATTTGAGGTCACAGGGGTCAATTGAAAGGTCACGCCGTTATAAAGGATTTGGCAACTTCTGCGAATTTCTGAATCATCTGTGTCCAAAAATATTCATCCATTAATCATCACAGGAGTCGGGACACAGATCACTGATGAACTGTTCCCACGACGCCTTGACCAGGTCACTGTCTCTGACTGTGTTTGTTTTAAATGACTTTTTGTCAAATTATAACACGTCGACATCTTGTATTTTGTTGATTTTTTTTCAGTTAAAAATAATATTTATATGAAGTATTTATATTTGAATAATTATGACATATTTACATTTGCCAACAAATCTGCAGCTGAATTTTCATCATTTGACAAGATCAAGATCAGAGACAGTCGACGCACACACAGAGTACTGTAGTACTGTACTGAGCTCTGTAGTACTGAGCTCTGTAGTACTGAGCTCTGTAGTACTGAGCTCTGTAGTACTGAGCTCTGTAGTACTGAGCTCTGTAGTACTGAGCTCTGTAGTACTGAGCTCTGTAGTACTGAGCTTCTGTAGTACTGAGTTGTGTAGTACTGAGTTGTGTAGTACTGAAGTTGTGTAGTACTAAGTTGTGTAGTACTGAGTTGTGTAGTACTGAGTTGTGTAGTACTAAGTTGTGTAGTACTGAGTTGTGTAGTACTAAGTTGTGTAGTACTGAGTTCTGTAGTACTGAGTTGTGTAGTACTGAGTTGTTGTAGTCTGAGTACTGTGTAGTACTGAGTACTGTTGTGTAGTTACTGAGTTGTGTAGTACTGAGTTGTTGTAGTACTGAGTTGTGTAGTACTGAGTTGTGTAGTACTGAGTTCTGTAGTACTGAGTTGTGTATAGTTCTGTAGTACTGTAGTACTGAGTACTAAGTTACTACTGTTGTGTAGTACTAAGTTCTGTAGTACTGAGTTGTGTAGTACTGAGTTGTGTAGTACTGAGTTGTGTAGTACTGAGTTGTGTAGTACTGAGTTGTGTAGTACTAAGTTGTGTAGTACTGAGTTGTGTAGTACTGAGTTGTGTAGTACTGAGTTGTGTAGTACTGAGTAGTACTGAGTTGTAGTACTGAAGTTGTGTAGTACTGAGTTGTGTAGTACTGAGTTGTGTAGTACTGAGTTGTGTACTGAGTTGTGTAGTACTGAGTTGTGTAGTAGTTGAGTGTAGTACTAAGTACTGTTGTAGTACTGAGTTGTGTAGTACTGAGTTCTGTAGTACTGAGTTCTGTAGTACTGAGTTCTGTAGTACTGAGTTGTGTAGTACTGAGTTCTGTAGTACTAAGTTGTGTAGTACTGAGTTGTGTAGTACTGAGCTGTGTAGTACTGAGTTGTGTAGTACTAAGTTGTGTAGTACTGAGTTGTTGTAGTACTGAGTTGTGTAGTACTGAGTTGTGTAGTACTGAGTAGTACTGAAGTTGTGTTAGTACTGAGTTGTGTAGTACTAGTTGTGTAGTACTGAGTTAGTTGTGTAGTACTGAGTTGTGTAGTACTGAGTTGTGTAGTACTGAGTTGTGTAGTACTGAGTTGTGTAGTACTGAGTTGTGTAGTACTGAGTTGTGTAGTACTGAGTTGTGTAGTACTGAGTTGTGTAGTACTAAGTTGTGTAGTACTGTTGTAGTACTGAGTTGTGTAGTACTAAGTTGTGTAGTACTGAGTTGTGTAGTACTGAGTTGTGTAGTACTGAGTTGTGTAGTACTGAGTTGTGTAGTACTGAGTTGTGTAGTACTGAGTTGTGTAGTACTGAGTTGTGTAGTACTGAGTTGTGTAGTACTGAGTTGTGTAGTACTGAGTTGTGTAGTACTGAGTTGTGTAGTACTGAGTTGTGTAGTACTAAGTTGTGTAGTACTGAGTTGTGTAGTACTGAGTTGTGTAGTACTGAGTTGTGTAGTACTGAGTTGTGTAGTACTGAGTTGTGTAGTACTGAGGTTTTTTTAAATCTCTAATATTTCCTCCAAATTATGGCATTTAACTTTATAATCTCCATGGCAACAAACAGGAGACGCCACCCGGGCAATTTACAGGTCAGATCCGTGGAGAGGCGACTCCACTCACAGTAAGAATTGATGTTTTTAAAGATATTTTTGATCAATAAAATCACACGTCATCGAATAAATGCGTCTTTGTGCAAGTTTAATACAATATTGTGGAACACCGGGGGCCTGAATGTTCCGCAGTGCACCTTTAACTGCCACCAAGTGTTCATTTCCTGTGTGTTTTTCAGAGCTTTGAACTTTGAACTTTGTTTGTGACGTCGTTTTGTGTTTGTCTCGATTCGGGAAGTGTCCCCCGAGACATAAAACTGTCTCACTGCAGCACCTGACAGCACCTGACGTCACCTGACATCACCTGACATCACCTGACATCACCTGACATCACCTGACATCACCTGACATCACCTGACGTCACCTGACATCACCTGACATCACCTGACACACCTGACATCACCTGACATCACCTGACATCACCTGACGTCACCTGACAGCACCTGACATCACCTGACAGCACCTGACGTCACCTGACATCACCTGACATCACCTGACATCACCTGACAGCACCTGACACCTGACAGCACCTGACGTCACTGACACTGACATGACGTCACCTGACATGACATCACCTGACATCACCTGACATCACCTGACACACCTGACATCACCTGACTGACACCTGACATCACCTGACATCACCTGACATCACCTGACATCACCTGACGTCACCTGACGTCACCTGACATGACGACGTCACCTGACATCACCTGACACACACCTGACATCACCTGACATCACCTGACCACCTGACATCACCTGACGTGACGTCACCTGACGTCACCTGACGTCACCTGACGTCACCTGACGTCACCTGACATCACCTGACGTCACCTGACACACACTGACACACCTGACACACTGACACCTGACACACCTGACGTCACCTGACAGCACCTGACGACACCTGACATCACCTGACATCACCTGACATCACCTGACTCACCTGTGACTGCGACCGCGTCCATGCCGGGGCCTCTACTGCGTCTCCATGGTAACGACAGGACCGCACCTGCACCTGAAACACGACAGATTTGAGATTTGAGTTCAGGCCACAGAAATGAGTTTAGACACGAAAATGTAAAAGTCCATTTCAGAGCCGAGGGACAAACTCTGAGCTCAACACAAACTCTGAAATATAAAATACAAATCAAATTATTATGATTAAAAATCCTCTTTTTTTAAACAAGATCCTGAGATTTTTCCACATTAAAAAGAAGAAATTTATTTTCTATTTCCATGTGTCAATATATCTGTGTCTAAACCAGAACTAAACCAGGACTAAACAGGTCTAAACAGGACTAAACCAGGTCTAAACCAGGACTAACCAGGACTAAACCAGGACTAAACAGGTCTAAACCAGGACTAAACCAGGACTAAACCAGGTCTAAACCAGGACTAAAACCAGGTCTAAACCAGGACTAAACCAGGACTAAACCAGGACTAAACCAGGTTAAACCAGACTAAACCAGGTCTAAACCAGGACTAAACCAGGACTAAACCAGGTCTAAACCAGGACTAAACCAGGTCTAAACCAGGACTAAACCAGGACTAACCAGGTCTAAACCAGGACTAAAACCAGGTCTAAACCAGGACTAAACCAGGACTAAACCAGGTCTAAACCAGGACTAAAACCAGGTCTAAACTAAACCAGGTAAAACCAGGTCTAAACCAGGACTAAACCAGGGCTAAACCAGGACTAAAACCAGGTCTAAACCAGGACTAAAACCAGGACTAAACCAGGTCTAAACCAGCTCAAAACCAGGTCTAAACAGGTCTAAACCAGGACTAAAACCAAGTCTAAACCAGGTCTAAAACCAGGACTAAACCAGGACTAAACCAGGTCTAAACCAGGACTAAACCAGGACTAAAACCAGGTCTAAACCAGGTCTAAACCAGGTCTAAACCAGGTCTAAACCAGGTCTAAACCAGGACTAAACCAGGTCTAAACCAGGACTAAACCAGTTCTAAACCAGCTCAAAACCAGGTCTAAACCAGCTCAAAACCAGGTCTAAATCAGGTCTAAACCAGGTCTAAACCAGGACTAAACCAGGACTAAACCAGGTCTAAACCAGGTCTAAACCAGGTCTAAACCAGGACTAAACCAGTTCTAAACCAGCTCAAAACCAGGTCTAAATCAGGTCTAAACCAGGTCTAAAACAGGACTAAACCAGGTCTAAACCAGAATTAAACCAGGACTAAAACCAGATCTAAACCAGAACTAAAACCAGGACTAAACCAGAACTAAACCAGAACTAAAACCAGATCTAAACCAGAACTAAAACCAGATCTAAACCAGGACAAAACCAGTTCTAAACCAGGACAAAACCAGTTCTAAACCAGGACTAAACCAGGTCTAAACCAGGTCCACGTTCTCTGTGCTTTTATACTCGTTGTAAAAGTCGATTTCTTTCCTGTAAACATGATTTTTATTTTATTTTTTTAAAGAATCGAAAATGAGGCTCCAGTTTCGATATTTGTTTTATTTTGAGTGATTTTTTTTTTTTTAACTTCTTGTCGTTTCCTCCACGTGATTCTCACTCAAGACGAGTCCGGGTAAAAACGGGACAATAACAGGAAACGACGTCGCTCGAGTTTCTGCTGCACTTTGAAACTCGCAGCAACAAACGCAGAAAACTCCAACCACTTTAACGAGGTTTTTAACGAGCGAACTGCGTTTCAGGATCGGTCAGGGTTTTATCGGCCTTGTCAGAGATCAGACCTCGACTAAAAGTAAAAATAAAAATAAACTTTCTTTTACTCTTACTTTTCTGGTCTCGGTTTTGTCGTTTTTTAGTCTCAAAAACTCAAAAACTGGAGTTGTGTTTTCGTTAGTCTTTTAGTCCTGGTTTAGACCTGGTTTAGACCTGGTTCAGTCCTGGTTTAGACCTGGTTCAGTCCTGGTTTAGTCCAGATTAAACCAGGTCTGAATCAGGTCTTTACTGGGTCTAAACCAGGACTAAACCAGGGCCTAAACCAGGACTAAACAAGGTCTAAACCAGGTCTAAACTAGGACTAAACCAGGTCTAAACCAGGACTATTTCAGGACTAAAACCAGGACTAAACCAGGTCTAAAACTAAAGGACTAAACCAGGGTCTAAACCAGGACTAAACCAGGTCTAAACCAGGAACTAAACCAGGACTAAACCAGAACTAAACCAGGATAAACCAGGTCTAAACCAAGGACTATTTCAGGTCTAAACAGGACAAGGTCTAAACCAGATCTAAAACCAGGACTAAACCAGGTCTAAACCAGGTCTAAACTAAACCAGGACTAAACCAGGTCTAAACCAGGACTATTTCAGGTCTAAACCAGGTCTAAACCAGATCTAAAACCAGGTCTAAACCAGGTCTAAACCAGAACTAAACCAGGACTAAACCAGGTCTAAACCAGGTCTAAACCAGGTCTAAACCAGGTCTAAAACCAGGACTATTTCAGGTCTAAACCAGGTCTAAACCAGATCTAAAACCAGGACTAAACCAGGTCTAAACAAACAATCTGATACGGCCACACAAATTAAATCGTCAGTGTCAATATGTTTTAATTTTACAGAAACAGTTTTAATATTCAAAGTTTTTCTGTAGAATTCAAGTTGTTTATTAATAAAAAATATAGATTTTTCTGGGGTCAAAATCCTCCAGCACAACGGGACAGTCCCAGTTTGGTCCTGTGTCTCTGTCCCACTTTTATTCAAGAAATGTCCCAGTGTGTCTATTTTTAATCTGACCTGTTCAGTAAAAAGACTCACACAGCCCAGGTTTTTATAGTTTCAGGTTTTTGTTTTGGTATAAAAAAAATGGAACTATATCAGGACTAAACCAGGTCTAAACCAGAGCTAAACTAGAACTACATCAGGTCTAAACTGGATCTAAACCAGGACTATTTCAGGTCTGAATCGGGTCTTTACTGGGTCTAAACCAGGATTTAACTATGACCAAAAACTGAATGAAACCAGGTCTAAACCAGGTTTAACCTAGGATTATATCAGGTCTTGATCAGGTCTTTTTCAGGTCTAAACTCGGTCTAAACCAGGATTAAACTAGGGCCAAAAATTTAACAATTTCAGGACTAAACCAGGACTAAACCAAGACTAAATCAGGTCTAAAGAAAGTCTAAACCAGGACTAAACCAGGTATAAATCAGGTCTAAACCAAGACTAAACCAGGACTAAACCAGGTCTGAACCAAGACTAAACCAGGACTAAACCAAGTCTAAACTAGGTCTAAATCAGGACTGAACCAGGTCTAAACTAGGTCTAAATCAGGACTGAACCAGGTCTAAATTAGGTCTAAACCAGGACTAAACCAAGACTAAACAAGGTCTAAACCAGGTCTAAACTAGATCTAAACCAGGTCTAAACCAGATCTAAACTAGGATTAAACAAGGTCTAAACCAAGTCCAAAACAGGTCTAAACTAGGTCTAAACCAGGTCTAAACTTGGTCTAAAGAAAGTCTAAAACCAGGAGTAAACCAGATTAAACCAGGTCTAAAACCAAGTCTGAACCAGGTCTAAACCAGCTCCAGGACTTAAACGAGGTCTAAACTAGGTCTAAACCAGGACTTAAACGAGGTCTAAACTAGGTCTAAACCAGGACTTAAACGAGGTCTAAACCAGGTCTAAATCAGATCTAAACCAGGACTAGGTTAATCTCCTTCTAGATATATTTTTTAATGATATTTGTTGCATATTATTGCGAATATGAAACTATTATTTACATTATTTATATTAAATTATTTGACCGATAATTACAGTTTAAACACGAAGTCCGCGTCTGTTCCAGTCACAATATTCAGGACGGAGCTGTACCTGTGTTATGCAACTGTATTTATTCAGGCTGCAGTTCGTTTGCTGCACTAATCTGCTTCATCTGAGCAAATAAAAAAAAATTGATAAATAAAATAAAGATAAAAAAACAGTGTGTACAGAATATTCCGTACAGTCTGCGGTCATAACACTAACATCCGAATCAAAAAGTGAAACTGCACACACCGACAAAACAACCCGGGATTCGACTTAAAATATTATAATTATACAAACTAAATGCAATAAATGAATTTAAAAAAAACGAATTATTATAGAACTGCATTGCGTTTCGAGTCTGGAAATCGTTAAAATCACTTGTTGTTTATAAGTAGTCCATAACAAACTCTGCACTTTTCGCTCTAAAATTAAAATCGTTCATTAAAACTCACCAGAAAATACGTGTCCCGGTTCGGATCTCCGGTATCGTGAGTTTATCGCGTAGTTCGGCGCGTAAAAGTGTGAAAAATGTTGAGTTATTTTGACGTAAACACTCGGCGAGGCGAGCGCTGCCCGATCCGTGCCAACTGTAATCCCTCACTTCCGCATTGTACCCCGTGCGTCTGGTGACGTCAGCGCCGCGTAATGTTTTTTTTTTTTTTTTTTTCAAAGTTTGGAATCAAACGGCCAATCAGCGCGCGCACGTGTAAACCAGGACTAAACCAGGACTAAAACCAGGTCTTAATCAGATCTAAACCAGGACTAAACCAGGTCTTAATCAGATCTAAACCAGGACTAAACCAGGGTCTTAATCAGATCTAAACCAGGACTAAACCAGGTCTTAATCAGATCTAAACCAGGACTAAACCAGAACTAAACCAGGACTAAAACAGGTCTAAAACCAGGTCTAAACCAGACTAAACCAGGTCTAAACCAGGACTAAACTAAACCAGGACTGAACCAGGACTAAACCAGGTCTAAACCAGGACTAAACCAGAACTAAACCAGGACTAAACCAGGTCCAGTAAAACCAGGTCTAAACCAGGTCTAAAACCAGGTCTAAACCAGGACTAAAACCAGTCTAGGACTAACCAGGTCTAAACCAGGTCTAAAACCAGGAAACCAGGAACTAAACCAGGTCTAAACCAGGTCTAAATCAGATCTAAACCAGGACTAAACCAGGTCTAAACCAGGACTAAAACCAGGTCTAAACAGGTCTAAAGGTCTAAACCAGGTCTAAACAAGGTCTAAACAGGTCTAAAAGGAAACAGGTCTAAACCAGTCTAAAACCAGGACCAGGTAAAACCAGGTCTAAAACCAGGTCTAAACCAGGTCTAAACCAGGTCTAAACCAGGTCCAGGTCTAAACAGGAAACCAGGTCTTAATCAGATCTAAACCAGGACTAAACCAGGTCTTAATCAGATCTAAACCAGGACTAAACCAGGACTAAACCAGGGTCTTAATCAGATCTAAACCAGGACTAAACCAGGACTGAACCAGGTCTTAATCAGATCTAAACCAGGACTAAACCAGAACTAAACCAGGACTGAACCAGGTCTTAATCAGATCTAAAAACCAGGTCTTAATCAGATCTAAACCAGGACTAAACCAGATTTAAACCAGGTCTAAACCAGGACTAAAACAGGACTATAACAGGTCTAAATCAGATTTAAACCAGGTCTGAACCAGAGCAGACGTGCTGACGTCATCGCGGCGTAACGTTTGTTTTGTTTTCTTTTGTTTTTTCTAGATCCTAACGGCCAATCAGCGCGCGCAGGAAATCGCGCTTTCTTCAACTTTTGTTTTGTTTTGGTCGCTGTGGCGTGAAGCCGCGTGCTCCGGGGGATTAAAACTGTTCACTTTCACTTTAGGGCACAGATAGTTTCGGTAGTTTGACTTTTTAATGAGTTATTCGCTCGGAAAACGCGACGCAGTGACTCGTCCGCGCGCAGTTCTCGCGTAACCGCTGCATTATTAAACACGCGGAAGGAGCAGGAAGATGCCGATGGTTCTGCGGTCCCGTAAGTCCATCCGTGCCCCGGAGCTCTCGGACTCGGACTCGCAGCGGGACAGTCCCGGGTCCGGACCACACGGCTCTGCCCCGCCGCCGCCTCAACCGCCGCTTCGCCACAGGAGGAGGAAGTCCACGCGGCTCCAGGTCAGACGCACCAAATACGAGGTGAGCGCGTTTTTTGGAGTCACACTTTCCACCTCCTCTCCTCTTCCTCCTCCTCTTCAGACTCACTGCTGCTGCTGCTGAAAAAACCCCGCACTCGGCCACGTAGCTGCCTCGCGAACGCCACCGCCGCAGCCCCGCGACTTTTACGGCACCAAAAACGACCTAAATTCTCATTGTTTTGACCAAAAAAAAACCACCCAAATTAGTCTTTTTTTTTTGGAGCCGTTCTCGCCGTCGGAACGCTGCGTAATGGTGAGTTTTGCTGACTTCACGCTTTTGCAAGTCATCCATTCCACTTTTAATCCATCTTTTTTTTTTTATATTATTTTTCATTTACGACGCTTTGGAGAGCTCGAAAAACGCTGCAAAATGAAATCCGCTTTGGTGCAATTACGTGCCCGTGCGTAATTACCCCTCTTGTTTGAAGTCACCGGGTTTGTTATTGATCCGCAGGAGGGGGACGATTCGGACTCGGATTCGGGCCAGAACTTGGGTTTGGACAAGACTGAGGATTTAAGCCGAGAGGGAGAAGGAGAAATGGTGAGTTTGTTTAATGACGCCCGAGTTTTGTTTTTTGACGAACAGGTTTGGGGTTGAAATGGACGCAGGGGAACGGGGTTTTCAAATAAACGCCTGGGTGTGGTGCGGTTTTAGGACAAGAGTAATATCATAATACCGACTTTGTGCACGTGCGGTGGCGGCGATGCAGCACAGGAAGCACCGGTAAAGCCCAGCGGAAGTGTCCTAATCTCACACAAAAGACAAGTTCTGTTTACAGCGCGTCACCTCTTCAGAGCAGAGACAGGACTAAACCAGGACTAAACCAGGTCTAAACCAGGACTAAACCAGGTCTAAACCAGGTCTAAACCAGGACTAAACCAGGTCTAAAACCAGGACTAAACCAGGACTAAACCAGGACTAAACCAGGACTAAACCAGGACTAAACCAGGACTAAACCAGGACTAAAACCAGGACTAAAACCAGGTCTAAACCAGGTCTAAACCAGGTCTAAACCAGGTCTAAACCAGGTCTAAACCAGGTCTAAACCAGGTCTAAACCAGGTCTACTAAACCAGGTCTAAACCAGGTAAACCAGGTCTAAACCAGGTCTAAACCAGGACTAAACCAGGTCTAAACCAGGTCTAAAACCAGGTCTAAACCAGGTCTAAACCAGGTCTAAACCAGGTCTAAACCAGGTCTAAACAGGTCTAAACCAGGTCTAAAACCAGGTCTAAAACCAGGTCTAAACCAGGACTAAACCAGGACTAAACCAGGTAAACCAGGTCTAAACCAGGTCTAAACCAGGTCTACTAAACCAGGTCTACTAAACCAGGAAACTAAACTAAACCAGGTCTAAACCAGGTCTAAACCAGGACTAAACCAGGTAAACCAGGACTAAACCAGGTCTAAACCAGGTCTAAACCAGGTAAACCAGGTCTAAACCAGGACTAAACCAGGACTAAACCAGGACTAAAACCAGGTCTAAACCAGGACTAAAAGGACTAAACCAGGACTAAACCAGGACTAAACCAGGACTAAACCAGGACTAAAACCAGGACTAAACCAGGTCTAAACCAGGTCTAAACCAGGACTAAACCAGGACTAAACCAGGTCTAAACTAAACCAGGTCTAAACCAGGACTAAACCAGGACTAAACCAGGTAAACCAGGACTAAACCAGGAAAACTAAACCAGGACTAAACCAGGACTAAACTAAACCAGGACTAAACCAGGTCTAAACCAGGACTAAAACCAGGTCTAAACCAGGTCTAAACCAGGTCTAAACCAGGACTAAACCAGGACTAAAAAAACCAGGACTAAACCAGGTCTAAACCAGGTCTAAACCAGGTCTAAACCAGGACTAACCAGGACTAAACCAGGTCTAAACCAGGACTAAACCAGGTCTAAACCAGGTCTAAACTAAACCAGGTCTAAACCAGGTCTAAAACCAGGTCTAAACCAGGTCTAAACCAGGTCTAAACCAGGTCTAAACCAGGTCTAAAACCAGGACTAAACCAGGTCTAAACCAGGTCTAAACCAGGTCTAAACCAGGTAAACCAGGTCTAAAACCAGGTCTAAACCAGGTCTAAAACCAGGACTAAACCAGGTCTAAAACCAGGAAAACCAGGACTAAACCAGGTAAACTAAACCAGGACTAAACCAGGTCTAAAAGGTCTAAACCAGGTCTAAACCAGTAAACCAGGTCTAAACCAGGTCTAAACCAGGTCTAAACAGGACTAAACCAGGTCTAAACCAGGTCTAAACTAGGACTAAAACCTAGGTCTAAAACCAGGTCTAAACCAGGACTAAACCAGGTCTAAACAAGGTCTAAACTAAACCAGGACTAAACCAGTCTAAACCAGGTCTAAACCAGGACTAAACCAGGACTAAAACCAGGTAAACCAGGTCTAAACCAGGTCTAAACCAGGTCTAAACCAGGACTAAACCAGGACTAAACCAGGTCTGAACCATAAGGTGGAGGTTTAAATATTCGCCCTTTCGTCACCTGCTCTTGTATCTTGTTTCCTTTTTTATTTTTATTGTCGTATGTTATATACGTGCAAAAACAAACAAACAAAAAAAGGTCACAGGTCAGATCTGTGGAGAGGCGAGCCCGCTCACCGTCAGGGCAGAGTCTGTTTCTCGGCTCTAGTGCGTCTCTCAAAATGTGGCGGGAGTTTTTTTTTTTTTTTTTCAAATAAGACGACGAAAACCTCCGAGCTGCTGAAAGCGTCGGTTAAAGGAAGTGGAGCTGTGTGTGTGTGTGTGTGTGTGTGTGTGTGTGTGTGTGTGTGTGTGTGACCGCCGCTCATCGACTTTTATCACAATAAAAAAACGCACGTGTGTCTCCAGAGCGAAAAATTATAACAACGACGTCATAAAACACATCAGAAATATGATAATTCGCCGTTTTCTGATCTGTTCTAATCAGCGTTGGGAAGTTTACTTTTAAAATGTAATCCCCAGACAGATTACAGATTACACACCCCAAAATGTACTTTGTAAAGTAATCCATTAAATGATTTAAAGTGAGTAACGTAATCTGATTACTTTGGATTACTTGATTTGCTGTAGAGAAGCAAAGACGAGGATCTGAACATAAGACGTTTTGTCTGATAAAAGAAAATAAAAAGTCCAGACTTTACTGAACCAAATAAAAAATATTATTGATAGAAAACGAAGAGACACGTCCACACAGCAGGATTTAGTCCTGTTAAATCCTGGTTTAGTCAAATTTTTGATCTAGTTTAGTCCTGGTTTAGTCCTGGTTTAGTCCTGTTTTAGACCTAGTTTAGACCTCGTTTAGACCTGGTTTAGTCCTGTTAAATCCTGGTTTAGTCCTGTTTTAGTCCTGGTTTAGTCCTGTTAAATCCTGTTATAGTCCTGGTTTAGACCTGGTTTAGTCCTAGTTTAGACCTGGTTTTGACCTGGTTTAGTCCTGGTTTAGACCTGGTTTTAGTCCTGGTTTAGTCCTGGTTTAGACCTGGTTTAGTCCTGGTTTAGTCCTGGTTTAGACCTGGTTTAGTCCTGGTTTTAGTCCTGGTTTAGTCCTGGTTTAGTCCTGGTTTTAGTCCTGGTTTAGTCCTGGTTTAGTCCTGGTTTAGACCTGGTTTAGTCCTAGTTTAGACCTGGTTTTGACCTGGTTTAGTCCTGGTTTAGACCTGGTTTAGTCCTGGTTTAGTCCTGGTTTAGTCCTGGTTTAGACCTGGTTTAGTCCTGTTAAATCCCGGTTTAGTCCTGGTTTTAGTCCTGGTTTAGACCTGGTTTAGTCCTGGTTTTAGTCCTGGTTTAGACCTGGTTTAGTCCTGGTTTAGTCCTGGTTTAGTCCTGGTTTAGACCTGGTTTAGTCCTGGTTTAGCCCAAAATGTGAAAACAGTAAAATCCCACCATGTAATCCATTTATTTCAACAAAGTAACTGTAATCCAATTACCACTCACTGAAACAGTAACTGTAACCGAATACAGTTACTCATAAATTGTACTCTGATTACTCCGGTACATGTAATCTGTTACTCCCCAACACTGGTTCTAACGCCGTGTCCTCGTCGCACACGGAGCTGGAGACGCGTTTGTTTCGTTCACACGTTTAAAAACAAAAAACCTGCACATTTAACACGAGCTCTTCTGCTCTAAAAACTCTGTTCCACTTTGTGATGTCACGAGCTCTAAACTCCACACGCCTTCACTGGACGTGTACGAACGACGTACGGCGAGTCATCAACAAAGTATAAATATAAACACGCCGCAACTGCTGAGCCGATCACCAGGACTGGACCAGGACTAGACCAGGACTACACCAGGACTGGACCAGGACTAAACCAGGACTACACCAGGACTGGACCAGGACTAAACCAGGACTACACCAGGACACCAGGACTGGACTGGACCAGGACTACACCAGGACTGGACCAGGACTACAACCAGGACTGGACTGGACCAGGACTAAACCAGGACTGGACAGGACCAGGACTGGACCAGGACTACACCAGGACTGGACCAGGACTACACCAGGACTGGACCAGACCACCAGGACTACAACCAGGACTGGACAGGACTAGGACTACAGGACTACACCAGGACTACACAGGACTACACAGGACACACCAGGACTACAGGACTACACCAGGACTAGGACTAAAGGACCAGGACTACACCAGGACTACACCAGGACTAAGGACACAGGACTACACCAGGACTGGACCCAGGACTACCAGGACGGACTACAGGACTACACCAGGACTACACCAGGACTAAACCAGGACTACACCAGGACTACACCAGGACTACACCAGGACCAGGACTTACACAGGACTAGGACTACACCAGTACACACCAGGACTACACCAGGACTAAACCAGGACTACACTAGGACTACACCAGGAACTACACCAGGACTACACCAGGACTACACCAGGACTACAACAGACCAGGACTACACCAGGACTACACCAGGACTACACCAGGACTACACCAGGACTGGACCAGTGTTATTAGTGGAGTATAAACACATACACATCAGAGCCGCTGAGTCGTTCTCCTCTGATGTTTTTATGTCATAAAAACACTCAAGTCTCTCAGTCTGGTCCATGGTTTTGGGAAAAGACGTTAAACGTCACTTGTTTCCGGGGCAACAGACGCCCTGGACGGTGTCAACTATTTTTCTCCCTTTCGTCCACGGCGTCTGAGACGCGTGTTGAAGGCGTCTGAACTAGTGACGGGCATTTGATGAAATTTTCTTAATCGATCGTCGGAAGAATTAACGATCGATTATCGATTAATCATTAACGTTTTTATATTAAAATGATCATCATTATTATTACTATCTGCACTAATCTGCATAAATAAATTCAACTTTACGACAAATAAACATAACGACTCTAGATCCACATCAGCTGTTTGACATTATAATGTGTTTAATTCAGTTTTGTTCAAATCTCACAGAAACAAAACCACCATCACTAATTTACATAAACTAAGTGAAGATAAAACTCCAGCTCTTGTGTCGCTGATGTGGTTCAACTTGTGTTGGATTAAAAGACAT